GCTTTAAAAAATCTAATTTGAACCTGGTTCTTTTAGTTATAGAAAAAATAATTTAAATCATTATCATATTTTATTTGCATATAAGCTCAAATAATGAAATAAGGAGAGATTTGTTCTAAAAATCATTTGCTGGTTGGGAATTTGTTTAAAATGGATATGACTATGCAGTAGAATTACCTCCATGTAAAAGACACATAATTGCAGAACTAAAATGTCCTTTATGGAGAGGTGTCCTCTTCCCAGAGAATTACTAAATAGTTATTTTTTATTATCCCATTGTATAATTATACAAAGTCATGGAGACTATATTCATTGATCAAATTCACAATCTTGGTGGCTGGCCCGGCTGATAGTACCCTGTAAGGGCTCTTGATCCAGGGATACAGGATGAGCAGCGTTTGTACTCCATGTTAGGAGCGGCTACACATGGTGTCTGTTCCTCATGTCAGAGGCAGCCATTTCTTTTAGAGCTAAGTCGGCCTGCCACTGAGTAGTGCTCCCAGTCTTGATGACAAAGGCATACACATTCTACTTCACCCAACAGGTCTCAAGCTTTACAAACTTGATACCTTAATATGATTGAGTGGAGATAGGAAAGAAGAAGTGAAGACAATCTTGGTAGGGTTGGAATATAGGTCCTGTCTTGAGGCTCACATACATTTCAAGAGGTGGTCTGGTGAGGTCTCTTTGGTCCTGTGGATGGTGCATTGTGGGAAGGTCTTTACACCATCCTGGAAGAGGAGCAATCTTGTATGGCTGTCAGTTTTGAGCCTGGAGATATAGCTTGCTGTCTGTCGGCTCATCCCACATTCTAGAATAGCTCCAGGCCGTTACTAAATAGTAAAAAATGGTAATTTTGACAATGAAAACTGTCCTTTGTAGCAAGGTGTCCTCTAGCATGAGTATCCTCTCATGGAGTATGTTCTACTGTACTAAACCAATCTTGTTTATTCATTTCAATAATTATTTGACACTTTGCATATATTTTAGAACATCATGTAATTAAGAAAAAAGAGCATCTCCTTATCGTGTAACTGAAAGTTGCTGATGGCTTGCGCCATCTATCGGAATAAATATCAACTATTCTCGTTGATTTTTCCACATCATGTAATTAAGTAGAAGCCAGAATTCAAAAACTCATTCCCATGAAGTAGGTTACAGTGATAAAAGAAAATAAGACCTAATCCAAATAATTTATTAGTGTGTGACGGCAACAACATTGTCACCATCATCAGACAAAAGAATAAATGAGAAAAATATTACAGCAAGATCTTATATAGTACTAAAACAGTAGTGTACTATTAAAGAACTTGGTGTAATATTTTTCTCATTTATTCTTTTGTCTGATGATGGTGACAATGTTGTTGCCGAAACGTCACACACTAATAAATTATTTGGATTAGGTCTTATTTTCTTTTATTATAATCTATAATCCAAATTGTGCTTTATCAAGATGACAGTGAGTTGCAGAAACCTCAAGAAGTAAATAAATCAAAGCAAATTTTTTAGGCAAATAACATAATTTTATTTACATCCTATCAACACAGTAGAAGAACTACCTCTCTGTAAAGGACAACACCTAGTTGCAGAGGCCAAAGTGTTCATTTAGAAGCATATTTCTGAATGATTTTTGCTAAATAATCTAGTGCAGGAATGTGAAAAAATAGTACAAATGTAATATTGTACTGTGATAAGGTGCATAAATTAAGAAAAAGGCTTCTTCTTATCGAGCAAGAAAGTGCAAGAAATTATAATTTTTTTAAATATATTATCGATAAGGCACAATTTGGATTATAGATTATAAACACAAGGTAATAAGACCAAATTCAAATAAATAGTGTGTGACGTTTCGGTAACAGCTTTTGTCTGAAGATGGTAACAACGCTGTTACTGAAATGTCACACGCTATTTATTTATTTGGATTTGGTCTTATTACCTTGTGTGAATATAATATCCTTCCAGTTGTAGATCACCAGTGTTGTGTGTAGATCTACTAATGGGGACAGAGGTTCTGTAACAGGTTTACAGTAGATGGCAATCTAGGTTAATGAACTTTGGTTGATTGAAGCTAGGGTAGGTGGTCACTACAGAGATTTAACAAATCTGTTTCATTAAATGGTTGTGATAGGTACAATTTGGATTATAGATTAGGAACACAAGGTAATAAAGACCAAATAAATATATAGTGTGTGAAGTTTCAATAACAATGCTTTATTTATTAACATTTATTTTTTCTTATCCCTAGTACACGTGGTACAGGCCATGATAATCATAGTGGGTAGAAGTAGGCGACTGCTTTTACTGTAAGTGCACCACATGTCTACACATGTGAAAAGCTGTTCGACTTTGCACTTACAAATGTGCCAGAGCCCCGTTTGGTTACTTGCACTTGCTGGTGGGGTTGGACTTTTGCAAGAATTGGGGGCCATTGGAGCATTTTTTTAAAACATAAAAAAGTGCCCAATGCTGGAATCGAACCCGGGTCGTAGCGGTCGAAAACCAACGGTTTAGACCATCCTTCCAACGACCCCCGTTACATTTATTTATATGTAAAAATGAATGATAAAGCACAATTTGGATTATAGATACAACATAATAAGACCTAATCGCCCTATATAATTTTTACAAGGCAGTAGGTGTAAAGAGGGAGAAAAGAGAACTTGGAAGCTATTGTTCTTACACCTCAGAATGATGACGAAACATCGAGGGGCCATCGTGTTGGTCGACGATGAGATTGCGGAGCAGGTGATATGGATGGCTGTGCTGGAGTAGACCTTTTTGTGTCTGGATGCTATATTTATGGCGAAATAAATAACTTAGTCCCTATTTCTGCTCCGCGCTTATGGAATTGAAGACTTGGGGCGATGGCGTCGACCTCTCATATTAAATCTTACTTTTCCTTATTACTAATAATTGTATATAGTTGCGGAACTACTGGTTTCCTGTGCTGCTCTTTTCCTGTTATTGCACCTTGTACAGAGAATCTGTATAAGACTAACGTCTTAATAAAGGCTTTGTGTGTGTGTGTGATAATAAGACCTAATCCAAATAATTTAATTGTGTGTGACATTTCGGTAACAATGCTATTTCAGCTGAAACACTCCTCATGACTTGTCCTGACATGACAGAACCTCTGATAAGAGACAACTTCCAGGAGAGGCCATGTTTATTTATATGTTTAGGCTGTGGTCTCTCATCAGAGATTCTGTTTCAGTTGAAACACTCCTCATGACTTGTCCTGACATGACAGAACCTCTGATAAGAGACAACTTCCAGGAGAGGCCATGTTTATTTATGTTTCTAGGCTGTGGTCTCTCATCAGAGATTCTGTTTCAGTTGAAACACTCCTCATGACTTGTCCTGACATGACAGAACCTCTGATAAGAGACAACTTCCAGGAGAGGCCATGTTTATTTATGTTTTTAGGCTGTGGTCTCTCATCAGGGATTCTGTTTCAGTTGAAACACTCCTCATGACTTGTCCTGACATGACAGAACCTCTGATAAGAGACCACTTCCAGGAGAGGCCATGTTTATTTATGTGTTGTATAGGCTGTGGTCTCTCATCAGAGATTCTGTGTCAGTTGAAACACTCCTCATGACTTGTCCTGACATGACAGAACCTCTGATAAGAGACAACTTCCAGGAGAGGCCATGTTTATTTATGTTTTTAGGCTGTGGTCTCTCATCAGAGATTCTGTGTCAGTTGAAAGACTCCTCATGACTTGGCCTGACATGATTGATTCTGATGAGAGACAACTTCCAGGAGAGACCATTTTTAGCCATGTTTCTAGGCTATGGACTCTCATGGGAGACACTACTGTATTCTCTCACTATGACACAAGATTGCTGATTGCCACAACATGAGATAAACAGTTAGACCATTCAGATAAACCTATCTCTGAGACATTATCACTTGATAACATCTCTGGAGGATTCATTTGCTTTGTGGTTTTACCTCTTTCTCTCTCTCTGTGATTCATTTATTTTATTCAAATGCTCCAATGACCCCCGATTCTTGCAAAAGTCCAACCCAACCAGCAAGTGCAAGTAACCAAATGGGGCTCTGGCATATTTGTAAATGCAAAGTCGAACTGCTTTTCACATGTGTAGATATGTGGTGCACTTACAGTAAAAGAAGTTGCCTACTTCTACCCACCATGATTACACCATGAAAACATATTGACTGTATTGACTTATCCATTGATGAGCTCTACTCTTCCCCAGTAGAAACCATCAAAAGTCTCGAGCTTTACAAGCTTGATACCTTAGTTTGATTGAGTGGAGATAAGAAAGAAGAAGATGATTATCATGGATTGCACCACGTGCAAAAGGGATAAGCAACAAAAAGGCAATTAGGAGATTTGTGTTCCACAGAAGTATTATACAAATCTGCGGTGCCTAGAGCATCGCCATCCTCCTGGAGTGTGGCCTGCATGTGACCCCCTTGGAGTGCTGGGAGGTCTCTAGGTCTAACGAGGGGGACTGGATCCGTCGTCCAGGTGGAGAGCTTCTTTACGGCGGGTGTGTGGTGCGATAGCACGCCATCCTCCTGGAGTGTGGCGTGTGTGTGACCACCATGGAGCATTGGGAGGTGGCTAGGTCTAACGAGGGGGACTGGAGCCATCATCTAGGTGGGGAGCCTCTTTACAGCAGGTGTGTGGCGCGATAGCCCAGGCACAAAAAAAGAAAAACTACACAAATCTCATTTATAATACAATATAATGTCAATATAATATAATGCGGCTTATGATTGTAAAACAACATTTGAAATACTATCCCGCATGTGTTTCTTTTCAACGAAAAATCAAAATTTATTTCACGGAGAAATAACGATTATTTCTAACCTTTTGGATGAGGTATGAAAGGATGAATTGTGAAGAGTAATGATAAACAGAAAAATAAAAGTGTCCAGGGATGGGAATCGAACCCACAGTATTCTGCTTACCGGACAGATGCCATGTCCACTAGGCTACCCTGGACATATAACGGAAAAATATGTCCAGGGTAGCTTAGTGGACATGGTATCTGCCATGTAAGCAGAACATTGTGAGTTTGATTCCCATCCCTGGACACTTTTATTTTTTATGTTTATCATTACTTTTTACAAATCTCATTCTCTGATTCATGGTGATTCATCAGTTTCTTTTTGTTACACAACTTAAGGATAATCTAACATCCTGTGTGTGCTTGAAACTTACAAACTTTTACTATTTATATTTATAGGGGAGATTGTGTGTGTGTATGCTTTATTATTAAAATAAATCCTTTCAAAGAATTCTATATACAGTTACGAGCGTCATTCCTCATCTCCTAATCAACTCTGTCACCGTTTGCTTTTTTTTGGAATGGCGCCCTCCTATTGGTTGGCTACTATCACGCCACCTTTGCCCCCCCCCCCATCATGCCTCCCCCACTCGCTTTTTCGTTTTTGTAACTATTGTGTTGGAGCGGGTCGCTCCTTAAATAAATGCATATATTAGTTAATAACTAAATGGAATCCTCTCTTTCTTTTTCCCAGTATGAGACGCCTACGGAAGCCAACAGTACATAGACAGATAAAGCACATAGGCTATAGTTATTAACTAATATATGCATTTATTTAAGGCGCCAATTTATAATTGTAACAAATAGTATTTGAATAAAAACATTCAATCGGGTAAAACACGGGCGTTGCCCGGGTCATTCGGCTAGTTTCTCTATAAAAACAATCCCCTTAGCTATTTCATTGCATTTGTTTATTGTAGGAATTTAACAAAAATTAAAAAAATCTAAATAAAATGATCAACTTTAACTGAATAATTTTAGATAACTCTCATTTTTAATTGAAAATTCAGTAATTATTCAAACACAAGGTAATAAGACAAAAATCCAATAAATAAATAGTGTGTAACGTTTCGGTAACAGTGTTGTTACCAGAGAAAACGAAAATATAACGTGGTGAGTTTCTTTTTATTGAAAATACAAGCTTTCAAGCAAAACGCTTTTCTTCAGGTAATCCAAGAAAATGTGCGGAGATGTATATACACCCAACTAAGTAAGATTTGAATATTGAAGCGGAATTGCCACGAACAAACACGTATCAACACACCTAGAGAGCGAGCGAGAAATCCAGTTTAAAATAAGTTTAAAATAAATAAAATATATACATAAATCGGGAAAACACTTGAGGTTAAAATTCCTTATGCGGGATCCATGCTATTACAAAAAGCTATCAGTTTTCAGAGGATGGTAACATTACTGTTACCGAAATGTCACACACTATTTATTTAATTTGGATTTGGTCTTATTACCTTGTGTTTATAATCTATAATCCAAATTGTGGCTTATTATTAATTATTCAGGTAGGAAGGGGGGATTGAACTAAAGGGGTTTGACTGTCATTGAAAAGACCAAATTCAAATACTTAAATTATATATGATGTTTTAGTGTAGCAGCGTTGTTGTTAACCTCAGACAAAAGTAGCAAAAAATAAAAAGAGTTTCATGTAAACTAGTTGTGTCTGAAGCTGTGATAACAAAGCTGTTACTGAAATGTCGCATAGAATTACTTGGGTCTTGTGATTCTATTAATCCAAATTGTACCTCATCAATTGGCTGGGATTAACTGATAATTGGGACTGTTGACAATAATAGGACTCCCAATATAATTGGGACTCACACACACACACAAAGCCTTTATTAAGACATTAGTCTTATACAGATTCTCCGTACAAGGTGCAATATCAGGAAAAGAGCAGCACAGGAAACCAGTAGTTCCGCAACTATATACAATTATTAGTAATAAGGAAAAGTAAGATTTAATATGAAAGGTCGACGCCATCGCCCCAAGTCTTCAATTCCATAAGCGTGGTATAATTGGGACTCATTAATTTGGACTAAAGATAATTATAAACACAAGGTAATATGACCACAAATCCCAATAAATAAATAGTGTGTGATGTTTCGGTAACAGCGTTGTTACCATCTTCAGACAAAAGTATTGAATGAAGTACATTTATCTGAAGTTGGTAACAACGCTGTTACCGAAATGTCACACACTATTTATTTATTTGGATTTGGTCTTATTACCTTGTTAGTATGAAATAAAGTAAGAAGAGGAGCTTCTTTATACACATTTATTCTCGCTAGCTTTCGAACCTACATGGTTCTTCATCTGGCATGGAATTGTGTTTATAATCACTAATCCAAATTGTGTCTTAACATCTACTGTCCTTATTACAATGAAAATTTACGAATGCTCTGCGTCATTAATGATGAACCCTCCTAACAGTTTCGCTAATTTAATCTACTAGACCGCTTTTTAGAGCTACAATACAGTATTAGAGTTCTAAAAAGTGGCCTGGTGAATTAAAAATGGTGAAACCGCATATCAGGTTTGGGAGTTAAAGAGTAAAATAAATTCTTCAACCCTTTTTTTTTTCCAAAATTTATTTGTTTTCTCCTATTGAATTTATTCACTTTTATTATAATACAAGAAAATAAGACCTAATCCAAATAATTTAACAGTGTGTGACGTTTCGGCAACAGCATTGTCACCATCATCAGACAAAAGAATAAATGACATGAGTCACTCGCTCATTTATTCTTTTGTCTGATGATGGTGACAATGCTGTTGCCGAAACGTCACACACTATTTTTTAAATTAGGTTTTATTTTCTTGTAGCTATAATCTATAATCCAAATTGTTCTTTGTCCTTCACTTTGATTAAAATAATATTTGTAATTTTTTCTTTATTCAAAAATGTAATAATGCAATTTTAACCATCGCTAAAAGTTGATCATGAAACATTCAGAAAAATAAAATGTTCCAATGGTATCAATTCACAGTAATTTTCAAAAATTATTAATTACAGTAGAACCTCCATGTAAAGGACAACACCTAATTACAGAGCCAAAGTGTCCTTTAGAGAGAGGTATCCTCTTACTGGAGAGTTATTAAATAGTAAAAATGGTATTATTGGCGTTGAAAACTGTCCTTTATAAAGAGGTGTCTTATATCGTGAGTGTCCTCTCATGGAGGTTCTATTGTAGAGAGGTGTCCTCTCATGGAGGTTCTACTGTAGAGAAGTGTCCTATAGCGGGAGTGTCCTCTCATGGAAGTTCTACTGTAGAGAGGTATCTTCTTATGGAGGTTCTACTGTAGAGAGGTGTCCCATAGCGGGAGTGTCCTCTCATGGAAGTTCTACTGTAGAGAGGTATCTTCTTATGGAGGTTCTATTGTAGAGAGGTGTCCTCTAGCGGGAGTGTCCTCTCATGGAGGTTCTACTGTAGAGAGGTATCTTCTTATGGAGGTTCTACTGTAGAGAGGTGTCCTCTAGCGGGAGTGTCCTCTCATGGAGGTTCTACTGTAGAGAGGTGTCCTATAGCGGGAGTGTCCTCTCATGGAGGTTCTACTGTAGAGAGGTGTCCTCTAGCGGGAGTGTCCTCTCATGGAGGTTCTACTGTAGAGAGGTGTCCTATAGCGGGAGTGTCCTCTCATGGGGGTTTTACTGTAGAGAAGTGTCCTATAGCGGGAGTGTCCTCTCATGGAGGTTCTACTGTAGAGAGGTGTCCTCTAGCGTGAGTGTCCTCTCATGGAAGTTCTACTGTAGAGAGGTATCTTCTTATGGAGGTTCTACTGTAGAGAGGTGTCCTCTAGCGTGAGTGTCCTCTCATGGAAGTTCTACTGTAGAGAGGTATCTTCTTATGGAGGTTCTACTGTAGAGAGGTGTCCTCTAGCGTGAGTGTCCTCTCATGGAAGTTCTACTGTAGAGAGGTATCTTCTTATGGAGGTTCTACTGTAGAGAGGTGTCCTCTAGCGGGAGTGTCCTCTCATGGAAGTTCTACTGTAGAGAGGTATCTTCTTATGGAGGTTCTATTGTAGAGAGGTGTCCTCTAGCGGGAGTGTCCTCTCATGGAAGTTCTACTGTAGAGAGGTATCTTCTTATGGAGGTTCTATTGTAGAGAGGTGTCCTCTAGCGGGAGTGTCCTCTCATGGAGGTTCTACTGTAGAGAGGTGTCCTATAGCGGGAGTGTCCTCTCATGGAGGTTCTACTGTAGAGAGGTATCTTCTTATGGAGGTTCTATTGTAGAGAGGTGTCCTCTAGCGGGAGTGTCCTCTCATGGAAGTTCTACTGTAGAGAGGTATCTTCTTATGGAGGTTCTATTGTAGAGAGGTGTCCTCTAGCGGGAGTGTCCTCTCATGGAGGTTCTACTGTAGAGAGGTGTCCTATAGCGGGAGTGGCCTCTCATGGAGGTTCTACTGTAGAGAGGTATCTTCTTATGGAGGTTCTATTGTAGAGAGGTGTCCTCTAGCGGGAGTGTCCTCTCATGGGGGTTTTACTGTAGAGAAGTGTCCTATAGCGGGAGTGTCCTCTCATGGAGGTTCTACTGTAGAGAGGTGTCTTCTTATGGAGGTTCTATTGTAGAGAGGTGTCCTCTAGCGGGAGTGTCCTCTCATGGAGGTTCTACTGTAGAGAGGTGTCCTCTAGCGGGAGTGTCCTCTCATGGAAGTTCTACTGTAGAGAGGTATCTTCTTATGAAGGTTCTACTGTAGAGAGGTGTCCTCTAGCGTGAGTGTCCTCTCATGGAAGTTCTACTGTAGAGAGGTATCTTCTTATGGAGGTTCTACTGTAGAGAGGTGTCCTCTAGCGTGAGTGTCCTCTCATGGGGGTTTTACTGTAGAGAAGTGTCCTATAGCGGGAGTGTCCTCTCATGGAAGTTCTACTGTAGAGAGGTATCTTCTTATGGAGGTTCTACTGTAGAGAGGTGTCCTCTAGCGTGAGTGTCCTCTCATGGAGGTTCTATTGTAGAGAGGTATCTTCTTATGGAGGTTCTACTGTAGAGAGGTGTCCTCTAGCGTGAGTGTCCTCTCATGGAAGTTCTACTGTAGAGAGGTATCTTCTTATGGAGGTTCTACTGTAGAGAGGTGTCCTCTAGCGGGAGTGTCCTCTCATGGAAGTTCTACTGTAGAGAGGTATCTTCTTATGGAGGTTCTATTGTAGAGAGGTGTCCTCTAGCGGGAGTGTCCTCTCATGGAAGTTCTACTGTAGAGAGGTATCTTCTTATGGAGGTTCTATTGTAGAGAGGTGTC